CTTTTTTTCTGACACCGCATGAAACGCGTATCAGCGGCCCATTGGTTGTTTTCTTGATTTACACTGGGCTGGCCCAATCACATCTTTAATGTGAAGTACAGAAAAATACTCTTTCTATTAGTATAGAAATTAGTACAAAACTTATGAAAGTTTCCTTTATTTTTCAGTGCATTGTTTTGAGTATTATCATGGGATTAATATTATAACTATTATTATGTAATGTAGACAGACACTAACTAAAAGAGGTTTGAATTTTTCTTTGTTTAATTTGAACACTGAATATGGGTTGGCGCACAAATCAATCTCGCCTAGGGCAACCAAAGGGCTAGAGCCGGCCCTGGTGTGATGGGTAGGTTTAGGAGTCGGGTTAGTGTGTGTGTGATGGGTAGGTTTAGGAGTAGGGTTAGTGTGTGTGTGTGTGTGATGGGTAGGTTTAGGAGTTGGGTTAGTGTGTGTGTGTGATGGGTAGGTTTAGGAGTTGGGTTATTGTGTGTGTGATGGGTAGGTTTAGGAGTCGGGTTAGTGTGTGTGTGATGGGTAGGTTTAGGAGTCGGGTTAGTGTGTGTGTGTGTGATGGGTAGATTTAGGAGTCGGGTTAGTGTGTGTGTGATTGGGTAGGTTTAGGAGTCGGGTAAGTGTGTGTGTGTGATGGGTAGGTTTAGGAGTCGGGTTAGTGTGTGTGTGTGATGGGTAGGTTTAGGAGTTGGGTTAGTGTGTGTGTGATGGGTTTAGGAGTCGGGTTAGTGTGTGTGTGTGTGTGTGTGTGTGTGTGATGGGTAGGTTTAGGAGGCGGGTTTGTGTGTGTGTGTGTGATGGGTTTAGGAGTTGGTTTAGTGTGTGTGTGTGTGTGTGATGGGTAGGTTTAGAGGTTGTGTGTGTGTATATGTGTAACTTCTCATCTGAAGAGATGACGTTTCACGGCCAAATCAAATAACCAATCGGAGGAGAGCCCTTCTAGCCAATCAGAGGCGAAAAAGGCGGTACCTTCCCCTTCCATCCTGGGAAAAAATATCGCCGCCGGCGCGACTCGGCCATGACGTTAGTGATGGTGAAATGAAGCTTTGTGAAGCACAGAGGCTTTCCCCTCAAATGTATCGTAAATTGGTTCATTACACGAAGCTTTTCAACATGGTGCACACTAACGACATCTTGTTATTGTTTTATGTTATAAATCACTTTGTGCTATGAAAACCACAAAGCAATAAAATCATCAGTGTTAGTGTTGATGTTTACACAATGTATGAACAAATGAGAGATGAATTAATTTATGAAAGAATTAATGCATAGGACAAATTGCTTTGTTTAACAAATGTAGCCTTAAAACTTTAGCCATAGTCCAAAATCTATGAGTTCATAGGCAAGGCTCATATAGGCATACTGTATATTATCAAAATAAAAGAAAGCTATTGTGGAATGGTAAAAGGCTGGGTAGTGAAAGTGCTTGTGAACTGGGGAGTTGTGTAATTGAAGAAATTAAATATTTTTTACTAAGGAACAGGACTTGTTCAAATGTGTGAGGGCTTAGTCTTCTTTTATTTACTTCCCCTGCCTTTGAGAATATTCTCTCACTTGGGACAGCCAGACTTCCGAACGGTCTCAGTTCACTACCGAAGCGCATGACACTCGAAACCTGCGCAAGGGGTTTGCACTATTTTTGAATCAGAATATGAAGCAGTCACGTGGTTGTGTGTCGAAACCATAGACTGTAAAAAAATATGGAGGTAGTATCCGTGACGTCACCCGTAGGTTTCTGAAGAGCGTTTTTGAAGCCTAAAGTGGCCGTCGCCGACCGTCGCCATCTTGGCAGCGCGTGACCTCTCGTCACTCCCGGATAAAATAAAATGGGCAAAGAGGCGAGACGTGGGTGGAGCTGAGGTGCTAATGCTATATGCTACTGGCCTCGCGCTAAAGTGACAGCTGTTTGAAGAAGTAAAGCCAATAGTTAAAGTTAATGTTTTTGCCCTTCGAAATACTACAATTGTTAAAAGACGTAACTAAAAGTGAGACTATTTACTTTACTTTTTTATCAACTTAATTAATCCCACAAGGGGCAATTAGTTAAGAGCAGCATGTATACAACAGTACATAACACAGATCACACACATTTCTCACAACATACAAGCAGTTAACTATGTGTATCGTGATGCATTATTATTCTGCTAGTTAAAAATGTATTATCATGCAGACAGTAACTTACAATATTGCTCTGAGCTTGTGCGTGTGACAGTGATTCGTGCGCATACATGTTAGTCAGCAGGGCATCGCACGTCAAGTTCGTAAAGAGCTTAAATTTAGTCCATTTTAAAATCTGATTTTGTTCGCCTCTCAATTTCTTAGATAAGTTAAACCAAAGATATTACCTCAGAAGTTCAAGTAAATGAACTAGAAATCTGCGCTCATTCAAGGGTGTGCATCTACTGCATGGATGGAGAGAAAGCACTGACACTTGCAGGATTTCATCTGACGGTACTTTTTATTTTACACTAAAAAGTTAAATAAGCCTATCTGTTCCGTGAGAGCAATAGTATCGCATAACGAGTGTGGTCTCTATATCTACAGACGTTTTTAAATCTAAACTCCAAAAAGCAATGAAATTGTCAGACATCCATTAGTGCATGCGAGGGAAACAACTGGAAATACAGCGCTGGTTGTTCTCTCCATACTCAACAACGACGGGATCCAATGGCGTGCATGGGCGAAGGTATTATACGTGTATTTAATTGTATGAAATAATCCCGAAAAAAGCGCAAACACAGCTGAGGGTGACGCTAACAGACAGCAGACAAACGACTAGCAGTGACAGCAGCGGCAATCCAACTGTCACTCAAGTGGCCACACCCTTAATTATGCAGAACTTTAAGGCTTAATATACCGTATATACCCGAATATAAGAAAAGGTTTTTGTCCTAAAAATAGGCTGAAAATGGGGGGTCGTCTTCTATTCAGGGTCATCTTATATTCGAGTGGAGGAATCGATTGATAGCCTTTTTCTTTTTCCTTTTGGAAAAAACGAGCGCGTCGCTTCCATTATGAGTGCGCATACCGCGCGCCTACATTTGAAATAACGAACTTGAGCGCGCAAAAGACGCGATATGTGAACAGGGGGGGGGCGGGTCTCTGCTCGCTTGTCTCCATCCGCTCTGGCATCCTCTGTGAACGGCGCTTTTTCTTGCACGTCTCGAGCAGAGGGAGAGAGAGAGAGCGGGAGCCAGATCGTCGTCGAAAACGGCCAGACGACCCTACCGCAGGGTGGTTAAATCCATCCCGTCGCACTCAGGGCAGCCGCACTCAGGGCAGCCGCAGTCATGGCCAATCAGGAAGCGCATGTGTGCTGGTCTCCGCCGACGAACTGGCCTCTACACGAGGCACATGTGATGCGAGGCATTTGGAACAACGCCTCGGAAATTGGCTATTAAAATTATTTTCTGTTGAAAACCAGATTTTTTCCACAAAAATCTATTTTTCCCCAAAAATAAGTCTGGAAAATGTGTGTGTGTGTGGGGGGGGTGGGGGGTGGGGGGGTCATCTTATATTCAGGGTCGTCTTATATTCGGGTATATACGGTAATTTAAACGGATGAGTTGTAAAAAAATTCACCCCCCTCACAGTATGACGACTGTGAGGGGGGTGAATTTTTTTACAACTCAAGGGCAAAATTAGCTATATAGACCAAAACAACTATTTGCCACCAGGCTGTAAAGATATTTTTTTCTGCTGTGAAGTATGTGTTGGTTTCAAGAGAGAGACAGGGAGGTTGCCGCTTGGTCGAAACGAAGCTTCGGACGTCACTGATCACATGGTTATGGCAAGACGAATCAAGCTCCGGTACGGTGGTTCATGTGAGATGTTTCTTTTTTTTTTCATACAAGCTTCGAAGCCTCGGTGCCGAACGTCACATCACTACGTGACGTCATCAGCGGCTACCGCTCGCTCGCTCGCTCATTCGGTTTGGCCGGCGCAACTTTCCGCTGGAAGAGTGATTACACACACACACACAAAACACAGGGACGAAACGACGAGACAGTGCAGTGTAAGTGTATGAAATGGAAGGGAGAGTGGAGTAACGGGTGAATGTCCATGTGCGATCAGCATCTCGTGTGCACGCATGATAGCGGCAATGTGAGGGAGGAACGAGACGTGGATGTATGAGGTGTGTGTGTGTGTGTGTGAACGAGACGTGGATGAATGAGGTGTATGTGTGTGTGTGAACGAGGATGAATGAGGTGTGTGTGTGTGTGTGTGTGCGCGCCAGTGCTGCTTCCCCAGCTAATGTGACTTTAGCACAATTAGCTTACTTCTCATTTCAAAAACAACTTGTTTAACACAAAATACTTCTTGATTCATGAAAACATACGCATTTGGCAGGACAAAATCTGATATGTCAAAATAGTGTTGTAGTGTAAATGTAGACTAATAGACCTTGACAAACGACATTGACAAGAAAAAGAGAAAACAAATCTGTGTTGCTGAATACGAGGCTTCTACAGTTATAGATACTAAAACAACTTTTTCACACGTTCTTTATAAAGAAGTGTTTTATTTAGGGCTGTCAAATGATTAATCACGATTAATCACATCTAAAATAAAAGTTTGTGTTTACATAATATATGTGGGTGCACTGTGTATAATTATTTTGTATATATATAAATACACACACATGTATGTATATTTAAGAAAAAAATATTATTTATATATAAAATATTAATATTTATATATAATATAAATTATATATAAATCTATATACAGTATATACATGAAAATATTTCTTAAATATATACAAGCATGTGTGTGTATTTATATATATAAAATAATTATACACAGTGCACCCACATATATTATGTAAACAAAAACTTTTATTTTGGATGTGATTAATCACGATTAATCATTTGACAGCCCTAGTTTTATTAAAAAAAGGTATAATGTAGTATTTACTTATGATATGAATTATTATTATTGTTAGCATTATTAATAAACTTGTTTATTTTTTTATTTTCAATTAGTGACACACAAAACACTGCAGATGAAGTTATTCAGAAGCTGATGCCTGTGGTTACAGCAACTAGATCAGCTGTGTAAGTAACACTGAGAACAAGCATCACTGCTAAAACATTATAACAGTTCTTACTTAAACATTATAAATTAATGCTTTAACAAATAATATGAGTGTCACACTTCAGATTTTAAACCCTCCACCTATCTGACCTGATTAATGAGCTATGTAACAGGTTTTTTATGATATTTGTGAGAAATTTATTTTCAAATATATGCATTTATAACGTATGTATAAACAATTACATTTAGACTTTTTATATTAATTTTAATTTAATTTAAATATCAATACATTTAAGTAAAAACAGATGTATTCAATGTTTTACATTTTATCAGTTTTACATAATCTTTCTCCCTCACATAGAGACATAATCTCTTAGAATAACAGTCAACTGTTTAATCTTACTGTTTAATTGAATTTATTGTTTTAAAAAAAGAGATATTGCACAAATTATAAACACAATTTAAAAAAACAATGATTCCTGTTTTGATCTGAGAGAGATAAGTGTGTCATTGTTCTCTACAGGTTGTATGATTGTGGTGTCACAGATGAAAGTTGTGTTGCTCTGGCTTCAGCTCTGAGATCAAACCCCTCACACCTGAGAACACTGGATCTGTCTATGAATAATCTAGGAGACTCAGGAGTGAAGCTGCTTTCTGCTGTACTGGAGAATCCTCACTGTAAACTGGAGAAATTGTGGTAAGATCATACATGACTCTCACATGAAACTGTCACTGTGAGTTCAGGGCTCCAGGCTAACTGTTTTTACTAGGAATGCTGTGGCCCCTGGATGAACATTTTAGGAGCGCAAGCAGAACATTTAGGGGCACACCTTAAATCAGCTTGCAATGCAATTATTCAAATTTCCCCCAAAATAACTATAATACTGACACATTCTTTCATAATAAATACACTTAACGTTTTAGGAGCGCAAGCAGAAAATGCTGAAAATCGAGATTGAATTCAATTAATTTCTTCACTGGATCTCCTAGTAACAGTGTCGCGTGATCAAGATCGGCAAGTTCAAGTCCAAAAATGGAATGAAATGCATGGAAATAACAATTATTACATTAATTACAAGCAAAGCTTTTGCAGCAGTTGTTCACTTTGTGTGGGTTTTTTACAAGATGCTTTTTCTGCCATCAGGACTGTAGAGCTCCAGCTCATCACACACCTTCTCCAAACTGCCTGTTTCTCCCGCCATGGTTAATCGATTTTGACATATAAAACATAAATGTCTGATATCAATATCTTTAGCATAATTTTCATTTATGCACTTTGTAATATTTTAAAGAAACTAAGCTCATATTGTCACAGCTGCGAGTGCGCTTGTACGCCAGCAGAGGACACTCTTACCGCTCACTCTACACACATCATGGACTCAGTTTTCCACAATGCTTTGCCTGTCATCTGTGTAATCATGTGCACCAGTTTCCCATCACCTCATGATCCCTCAGTCTCTCTGCCTATTTACCCAGTTCAGTTGTTTGTCTCATCGCAGAGTCTTGTCTAGAGTTCCTGGCATTACTGAGCGTTGTCCATGTTTTCTGCTATTCCTGGTTTGGATATCTGCCTGTGTCCTGGGGTGTGTTCCAGAAAGCAAGTTTATCTTACCGTCAAACATACCCTGAACTCTTGCTTGATTAAACCACATTTTTTGGTTTTATTGTTTAATTTCATGGTTCACACACCAGACCTTCTCAACAGAGACGAATCCACGAGTCACCATGGAAACAGACGCTGAGAAAAAGTGCACCATACTACTACGTTCTTCTTTTGTTAAATGCTGATTTACATAGTGCATATCGCCACCTATTTGGTGATTGTGCAATCATTTTAACCCTCTGGGGACCAAGGTGTTTTTGGGGCCCTTGGGATGTTTTGACATGCACTGACATTTGTGCTTTTTTCAGTTATTTATAAACATGTTAATGGCAACGGTATAAATTCACTCTATTCTCTCTATTCCACTGAGAATTCTGTTGATTGTGCCCTGGTAATTGGTGATTCGATCACACGGAACGTGAAAATAGAGACACCAGCCACCATAGTCACATGTTTGCCGGGAGCCAGAGTGCCTAACGTCAAAGCAAATTTAAAAGTGCTGGCTAATGCTAATCGTAAATTCTCTAAAATCATTATTCATGTCGGCACTAATGATGTTCGACTCCGCCAGTCGGAGATCACCAAAATTAATATTAAAGAGGTGTGTGAACTCGCAAGTACGATGTCAGGCACTGTAATTTGCTCTGGCCCTCTTCCTGTACGCAGGAGTGATGAGATAGTTAGCCGATTGGCCTCACTGAATGGTTGGCTGTCGAAGTGGTGTCCGCAGAATAATATAAAATTCATAGACAATTGGAAAAGTTTTTGGGGCAAGCCTGATCTGTTGAAAAGAGATGGTATCCATCCCTCCTGGGCTGGTGCTGCTCTTCTCTCTAGTAATTTGGCTCATAGTCTTAGGGATAAAACATGACAATCTGGGGCTCAGGTCAGGAAGCAGACAGACTGGCTAAACCGACCGTCTGCTAGCGGCCTCACGTCACCAACGTCAGATAAATCCCATCACATAGAGCCTCTTTCACCTAGATATCATCATCAGGGCCGGATTAAGAGTTCAGAGGCCCCTGGGCACAATGTCTTGTAGGCCCCCCCTTAGGGCCAAATGTATATTTTGTCCAAGGACATTTTAATATGGCATTTACAGTTTTACTGACTTAAAAGGAACTTTGTTGCTATGCTGTATTAAAGTTCATAAATGGTCGTTCTTTCCCATAGGATTTTGTAAAACTATGTTGGGTGGACCTCTGTGCCTCTAGGGGGGTTCGGGGGCATGCTCTCCCGCAAGAAAATGTTGTACATTTTAAGGTTAAATGCATCAATCTGGTGCTCTTTGAGAGGTCAAAATTAAGAGCTTCAACCCATGAACTGCTCATTGAACAAAGAAAAAGCATTGACTTGTACCAGGGCTCAAACATCTTTTTAGTTATGAGAGTCTCAGTCTACATTACATTATCAATGGTGTTTTAGGATGCCAAACAATTATTATAATAATGTAATAATGATTTATATAATTATTCCTATGACGTAAAATCCATAATTTAGCCTATAAATGTACTATAAATGAAAATGAATATTTCAAAAGTATATTTTAGTCTACATTACACTATAATACAGGAAAATTTAAATACTTTTGTCCTAATTTCTTCACTTGCAAGAAATAAACCCATGAGCTTTTATTTAGGAGAAAACACCAGATAACCATGCTGATCGCGTGAGCAAAGAGCGCACTTTTCTTTAAATCACCCAGCACACACAGGATGCCTATTCTTAAAGTCTTGTGCTGTTTTATAAAGGCACAAAGCCATATCATGGTTTCGATTTTAGTTCGTTGGCCAAATATAACGCTAGAGACCTTTATGTTAGGTTATACATTTTACATCTCATATGTGTTGGGAAAAGGGAGAAGAGAGAGTTCGGCAAAAGGCGGATTCGAACTCGGGTCGAGCGCATCAAAAGCTGCTTTCAAGCACTTCACGCGTTACGACCTACGCCACTGTAGCTATTCCGTGACGGGCGTCTTTTTGCTAAAAAGACAGGCACTTAGTGCAAATATACGCTCCGTTATCTAAAATATTTTTTTTCTTCCCCTCGCTTTGGCCACAAGTGCGCATGGCGAACTTGCAATGCATACATTTTATCAGACCGGCCCTCGCGGCCTCGAAACACTACCGGCCCACCGGGGAAACTCCCGACTCTCCCGATTGCCACTCCGCCCCTGCTGCCCAGGGCCCCTTAGATGTCGTGGGCCCCTGGGCAAGTGCCCAGTTGCCCTAATGGTTAATCCGGCCCTGATCATCATATAGAGACTGTGTCTGTTCCCCGAATTTGGAAATCCAAAAAACGTCAGGTTAAAAATGTAATTGATGTTCAACAAATAAAAAACAGATATAATACAGATGAGCAAATGATAAAGCTTGGGTTGCTGAATATTCGATCCCTTACTTCAAAATCTCTCATAGTTAATGATATGATTTCAGATTATAATCTTGATATGCTGTGTTTGACAGAAACCTGGCTAAAACCAAACGATTACATTATTTTAAATGAGTCAACCCCACAAGATTACAGTTATAAAAATGAACCTCGTCTGAAAGGCAAAGGGGGAGGTGTTGCTGTAATTTATAGTAATATTTTCAAAACCACTAAGAAATGTAGCTTTAAATATACTTCTTTTGAAGTATTGGTGCGTAATGTAAAAATATATAGTGTAAACGATAAATCACATTTGAGAATTATGCTGGCTACTGTATACAGGCCACCAGGGCACCATAAAGATTTTATCAAAGAATTTGCGGACTTTCTATCAGATTTAGTATTGGCTGCAGATAAAGTACTAATTGTTGTACTAATACATGTAGATAATGAAAAAGATCCTTTGGGATTGGCATTTAAAGACATTGTAAACTCAATTGGAGTTAGACAACACGTGTCAGGACCTACTCATTGTCGTAATCATACTCTAGATCTAATATTATTCAATTCAATTCAATTCAATTCAAATTTATTTGTATAGCGCTTTTCACAATACATATTGTTTCAAAGCAGCTTTACAGAAAGTGCATTTCAGAAATGTACATAGAAGAATATAGTTAGTTAATCATCATGTATTCATTTAGGGCATAACATATCGCCGGCGTTGAGTCGTCTCTTCACAGGCGTCGAGTCGTCTCTTCAAAGGCGTCGAGTCGTCTCTTCACAGGCGTCGAGTCGTCTCTTCACAGGCGTCGAGTCGTCTCTTCACAGGCGTCGAGTCGTCTCTTCACAGGCGTCGAGTCGTCTCATCGCAGGTGTTGGGGCATCTGAAGTCTCCGTGAGAGGCTGGATACAAACTGGAGCTGACGAACGCTATTTACCTCGGGACTAGCGTCCCGAGATAACAGCAGAAAAGCAGATGGGAAATAATTAGCGTAGCTGCTGTTCATAATATTAATGCATTCGATCTGATTCAACAGTGGTATAAAAGGTAAGCATTATGTGAATGCTTGGCTGAAGAGATGCGTCTTTAATCTAGTTTTGAACTGGGAGAGCGAGTCTGAGCAACGAACAGTATCAGGAAGGCTATTCCAGAGTTTAGGAGCTAAATGTGAGAACGCCCTCCCCCTCCTTTAGTGGACTTAGATATCCTAGGAATGACCAGAAGCCTCGAATTTAGGGATCTTAAAGAACGCGATGGATTGTAGAGCGATAGAAGGTCCATTAAATACACAGGTGCTAAACCATTTAGGGCTTTATAGGTCAGTAGTAGTACTTTTACATATTACATATTATCACATGGAATAGATGTTGATGCTGTTGAAATTCTGCAGCAGAGCGATGACATCTCAGATCATTATCTAGTCTCATGTAAATTACATTTAGCCAAGGCTGCAAAGCCGACTCCGTGTTATAAATACGTTAGACCTATAACTTCTGCCACTAAAGATTGCTTTATCAATAATCTTCCTAATCAGTTTCATCATCTCAGCATCCCAGATAGCTTAGAAGAACTCGATATTGCAACAGAAACGTTTAACTCTCTCTTTTCCAGCACTTTAGACGCAGTTGCTCCGTTGCGCTTAAAGAAGATTAAAGAAAATAGTCCAACGCCGTGGTACAGCGAGCACACTCAGGCCCTTAAGAGAGCAGCCAGAAAAATG